CTAGAATCCCCCAGTGAGGGGCTGGGGGCGTGGCTCAGTGGTAGAGCAGTTGCCTGATGCTGACACTTAATTCCCAGTACCACAAAATCAATCAAGCAATCAAACCACAGCATCCCTGCAGTTCTCAGTGACACAGTGGGACCGTGTGGGTAGAGTCAGGAAGTCTTAGTTCCGCCAAGCTGTGTTGCACAAGTAGACAATCTGGTTTATAACGCAGTTTGTTTTGTTTTTTTTTTTTCATTCTGGTGATGGAACCCAGGCCCTCATTTGCCCTAACTACACACTTTACTACTTGAACCACACCCTGGCAACATTTTATTTTATTTTATTTTATTTATTTATTTATTTTTTTATTTCTGAGACAGGGTCTCACTATGTAGCCCTTGTTGGCCTGGTACTTGAGATGTAGATCAGGCTGGCCTCAAACTTACAGAGGCTGTCTCTGTTTCCCAAGTACTAGGATTAAAGGCATGTGCCACTGTGCCCAGCTACATTTTAAAGACTTCAGAGGACCCTGGGTAGGCTGAGGGCTGTAAAGAAGCACTCACCAAAGCTGTAACTTCCAGTTAGCATCCGATTGGCTGCCAGTGAGGGTGGAGAAGGGAAAAAGAGTATGAGTCATGGATTCTCCCCAGACATCTGGTCTCTACAGCCCTTCAGCTGCCAACTCCTGGTGTCCAGGACAGCCAAAAGAAGAGAGGTGGGGCTATGGAGACTGAGGTCTGGGGGGGTTTAGAAAGAACTAAGGGTTGAAAGGGACCTCAAGAGTCTCCTGCAATTCCTAATAGTACAGCCCTCCGGTTCAAAGACCTTTGATCTTGGAAGAGACGGGTGTGGATGTCTGGGGATTACCTTTTACTTGACCTGGCCACTTGACCCTTTGAGGCAGGATATCACAGACAATAAGAACAGGACGCATATATTTTTATAAGACTCAACCCTCCGGTATTCCCAGGCAGAAATTTTCTGTGTGGGTCGGAGGAGCACTGAGACGGGTTAGTGGGTAAAGACACTTGTCATGCAAATCTAAAGACGCAAGTTCGATCCCCAGGACCCACAGGGGAAGAGGAGAGCAGTCACGGAAGCTGTCATCTGACCTGTACATGAGGTGCGTGGCACGCATGCGTCTGCTGAGTGCGTGCACTTGTGCGCACACAAATATGTAAAACAAAATATTTTAAAAACAAGATAAAAAATTGTCTTGGGTAGAATCCTGGCCAATATTGTAGCAATTTTCCTTCTGTAAAAAAATCTAGGATCACAGTGGCCCCTGTCTGTGGCTGGCAGGCCCCACACTCTGTCACCCGTCAAGAAGAAGCAGTGTTTATGCATCCTTTGCAGTTACCCGGTCAATGTGGTCAATGGGGGTGCGAAGGAAGGAAGGATAATGTATGGAAGTGGGGCGGGGATGCTACTGAAAGAGAGGCTGGAAATGGATGGGGCAGTCTACCTGCAGGGGTCGGCTGGGCCTGGAACGGGGCTTGGACCGATGCGGGGAGGCTTCCAAAGGCAGAAGAGCCAGGGCTGCTGCTGAAGGCATCGAAGTTGGCAAAGCCTCCGTGCGAAGGAGTCTGGCCTACGGGAGGAAGGGACACAAACACAACATGAAGGAAACGTATCCATAGCCAGATGCTGCACTGGGTAGAGTGTTCTCTTTTTGTTTTGTTTTTGTCAACTTGAAACAAGCCAAAGTCATTTAGCAAGAGGAACCTCAACTGAGAAAGTGCCTCTGCCAGACATGGTGGTGCAGGTTTTAATAACAACACTCGGGAGGTAGAGGCAACAGATGTCTGTGAGTTTAATGCCAGGCTGGTCTATATAGTGAGTTCTAGGACAGCCAGGGCTTTGGGGAGAACCACCTTCCCTGCCAAAAGAAAGTGTCTCCATCCGACTGATCTACAGCAGGTGAGTCTGTGGGAGCACTTTCTTGATTAATATGGGAGGACCATACCCCATGGAGGCAGTGCCATCCCTGGTCCAGGGCTGTATAACAAAGCAGGCTGAGGTATCTACAGAGCAAGCCCAGGCCGGCCACAGCCACATGGTGAGATCCTGTCTCAGCCACAGTCACATGGTGAGATCCTGTCTCAGAAGATCGAAGACCAAAAGAAACCAAAGGAAAGCAGGCTGGGCAAGCCTTAGGAAACAAGCCTGCTCACTATCCTCCAGTTTCTGCTTCAGTTCCTGACTTGAGTTCCTGCTATGACTTCTTTCAAGGGGTTCTGAGCCAGGACATGGAAGCCAAGCTAACCCTTTCCTCCTCAAATTGGTTTTGGTGAGTATTTGTTTGTTTGTTTGCTTGTTTTTTAAATCACAGCAACACAAACCTGAGACACCAAGCATGGTGGTTCACATCTGTGAGCCCAGCACTCAAGAGGCTGGATTGAGATCATGAGTTCGAGACCAGCCTGAACTCCATAGTACTTATTGCCTTATTGCCAAAACAGTCTCCTTCCCTCCTCTCTGCTGGAAGGCAGCTCAGTCCCAGAATCTACATCATTAGCTTATAATCTCAGCACTGGAAACACTGAGTCTCCATGACCAGCCAGCCCAGCATGTGTGGCAAGTTCCAGGCCAGCCAGAAACTGGTTTTTGTTTGTTTTACTTTAATTGAAAAAGTCAGTACTGAAGAGATGGCTCAGTGGTTAAGAACACTTTTTTTTTTTTCTTCAGATGACCAGGGTTCGACGGCCAGTATTCATATGGTGGCTCGCAGGCGTCTGTAACTTCAGTCCCGAGGGATCCAAAGCCCTCTCCGTAGCTGTGGGCACTGGGTATGCACGTGGTGCACATACATACATACATACATACATGACATGCAAAACATTCATACACGTGAAGTAAATAAATCAAAAAAAAAAAAAAGAAAAAGTACAAAAAAAGAAAACCACAAAAAAAAAAAAACCCAAAAGAGGTAGCTGGTACCCAAGGAACACCAGCCGAGGCAGATCTGTAGCTCTGTCGGCTGGTCAGCCTGCGTTCTTACCCAGCCTGGAGCACCTGCCCAGGGATGGCGTTGCCTTCACTGGGAGAGGCCCTCCCATACCTCCCTCCTCTAAGTGCACACACATGCATGTGCACACACATAAACGTAGGGATAGTTATTCAGCTCTTTACTCTCTGGTTTCAGCCTCCTCAGTATCAGGACTATAAGTACGCACCGCCACACCCAGCTCCCTCCTTTCCGGCTTAGCAGAGATAAAGTAATAGAACGGTTCTTTGGCTGCTAAAGTAGTTGCTGGGAGCCCCCACGGACATGTTGTACGGCTAAACTGTCAAGTATAACGCAGGCTGCTCCTTGATCCCAGCCACAAAGAAAAGTCAGGCCCCAATGAGCTGAATGTCTTTGCGGTAGTATATATGGTGTAGACAGGTTCTTGCCACGGGCTTGTACTCACCTCCAAAGCCTGGGAATGAGGCAAAGGCGGGCACCACCTGAGGAGCAGCAAAGGGGTCTCCTCCGATATCGGCCAGCAGGTCGGTGCTGGCTTTCTTGGTGGATGAATGGGAAGGAGGCTGGGAGCTCCTGGCCTGTGCTGTGCGTGCCTGAGACTGGCTGACAGACTTGAGAAAGAATTGTGTGTGACACTTAGAATCCCACGCATGACCTGGGTCCCTCCAGAGCTACCTAGGCTGCCCCCAAACAGTTAAGCCGAGAGAAGGCAGAGTAAGTGTCCTCAACTGACAAGCTTCCTGTGCAACACAGCGTCTGTGTGCTCCTCACAGTACCACAGGAAGCATTTAGAGCACGCAGAGGTAACCTTGAGCTGCATAGCCGTGTGCCCCACAGTGCCCAGGAGCGCTCGCCTCTGCATATTCCCCACCCCCACTCCCCATCCCTCCAAGACAGGGTTTGGGTAGGCCTGGAGGTCCTCGAACTTGAACTTGAACTCGAAAAGATCCACCTGTCTCTGCCTCCTGAATGCTGGGATTAAATGTGTGCGCCACCACCGCCCAGCTCACCCCTTATCCTCGCCAGCTACAGGAAGCACTGTTCTAGATCCTTCCAAGGGATGGTCAAGACTGAAGTCATCATTCCCATCTCTCTAAGCACCACTTTCTGCCAGGGTCTAGGGATCCGGATGTAAGCTACAGGTAGCAGCCCAGCTAAGAAGCAGCTTTCAGCGCCTGGATTGACAATGCGCCAAACCCAGGCAATCTGACTTAGGAAAGCAACGACCCTGTCCCATGCAATCTAAAGCAAGTCTCAGCGGAGATGTGAGGATCAGGACTGAGGGTTACCTGGCTTGAACTGGAAGCAGCATCAGAGAGAGATGGCACAGGATCTCCCAGAAGTGTCCGAATGGGTTTCCCTTCTGGGACAGAGCCCTGGACAGGGGTAGCAGAGACACTACCTTTGCTGTAAGAGGGTCCCTTGACTTGCTCTGGGGGGACATACCTGTGAAGAAGAACAGTTATGCAAAGAAAACCTTGGACCACGTTCACCCGAGGTGGTTGGGAAAACACAAGATATAGGATCAAAGTCTTTATTCTTTCTTTACTAATTCCCATTTATGAATAAAAAGAACTTCATGATGCATGCCTTTAATCTCAGCACCTGGGAGGCAGGGGCAGGTGGATCTCTGAGTTCTAGGCCAGCCTGGTCTACATAAGTGAGTTCCAGGACAGCCAGGGCTGCACAGAGAGACCCTATTTTAAACCCTCCCCCAACATCTTCTGTGAGCAGGGTTTTGTACATGGTAGTTAAGTGCTCTACCACTGAGCCACGCCCCCAGCCCCTCACTGGGGGATTCTAGGCAAGGGCTCTACCACTGAGCCACGCCCCCAGCCCCCTAAGGCATGAGCTACTACATACAGCTACCCCTTGAGTATCTTTTTCTTTCCCCTGAAACAGGGTTTCTCTGTGTAGCCCTGGCATTGAACTCATTGAGATCTACCTGAAATTAAAGGCTTGCACCACCACCGCTGGTGCACCTTGGGTATTTTTCTTTGCTTTACATTAAAAAGTTTATCATCGTCATTTGTGTGTCACATATACAAGTACAGGTGTACACACATGTGTGCCACTGAAGGTCAGATGACAGCTGACATGTTGTATGCATGTTTGCTCCTTCCGCCCTGTGGCCCCTCAAGTCTGAACTCAGGTCTGATCAGGTGCCTTCACCTGCTAAGCCACCTCGCTGTCATTGTTTTGGGCCTTTTGAGACATGGTATCACTATGTACCCATAGATGACTTGAACTAATCCTCCTGCCTCCACTTCCAGAATGCTGCAATTCCAGGTATATACCACCATGCCCAGCTTTGATAAATTTCTGTTCAGAAATGCCATTTCTCTCCCCCCGACCCCGTGTTGTGGCTATTTTCTACTTTTTAAATGATTTTTTAATTGTTGTTTTTATTTTTCTGAGACAGGGTTTCTCTAGGTAGCTGTGGCTGTCCTGGAACTCGATCTGTAGATCAGGCTAGCCTTAGACTCACCTGCCTCTGCCTCCAGTGTTGGGGTTCATGGTATGTGCTACCATACCCAGATTCTTTAAAAGAATTTTGTAATTAGCATATGTTATTTGTACAAAATAATGGATATCTTTCCTTCTTTGGACATCTCAAGACATCTTGGTTTTAAGTAATCACAGATATGATAATACAGATAGAACAGTGATCTTATTTTCCAACTTCACTGTTGAGGTGGCCCTTTCTCTTTCTAGGTCTCCCGTCTCTCCTCTCTCTCTCTCTCTCTCTCTCTCTCTCTCTCTCTCTCTCTCTCTCTCTCTGTCTCTGTCTCTGTCTCTGTCTCTCTCTGTCTCCCCCCCCCCCAATGTTAGGGATTGAAACCCAGGGCCTCCTGCAGATTACACTGAAGCCCTTTCTGTACCTTTTATTTTGAGACAGAGTCTCACTGGCTTGCCAGGGCTGGCCATGGATTCATTTCCATAGCCCAAACAGGCCCTGATCACTCCCTCTTTGTCTCTCAGTCTCTGTAGGGTAGCTGGATCACCAAGCTGTACCACCAGGCTTTCTTAGATTTCTCCTTTCAGTCCCGTAGAGAGCGAATCTGTATCTTATCCAACATGGAGCTCAGTCTGCCCTGACTTCCAGTTCTTCCTGGAGAAAACTCCCTTCCCACTCCCCACATATAACCTTTATTCTGCAAGCATCTTAATGCTAGGATATCCCAACGAGGTGGTCTCGGAGATGGCTCAGTGGGTAAAGTGCTTGTTTTATAACCATGGGGTCTTGAGTTTGGATCCCCAGCACCCATATAAAGCTAGGTATGCTGGCAAGCAGATCTATCTATAATCCCAGCTCTAAGAGCCTAGACAGTAGGTCCCAGGGGCTCACCAGGCAACCAATTTAGGTAAACTGGTGAGCACTGGGTTCAGTAAAAGACCCTTCCTTAAAAACTGAAGAGCCGCCGGGCGGTGGTGGCACACGCCTTTAATCCCAGCACTTGGGAGGCAGAGGCAGGCGGATTTCTGAGTTCGAGGCCAGCCTGGTCTACAGAGTGAGTTCCAGGACAGCCAGGACTACACAGAGAAACCCTGTCTCGAAAAACCAAAAAAAAAAAAAAATCAACCAAAAAAAACCCAAAAAACAAAACAAAACAAAACAAACAAACAAACAAAACAAAACAAAACAAAACAAACAAAAAAAACCCTGAAGAGCCAATGATTTGGCTCAGTGGGTTAGGATGCTTGCTGGCAAGCCTGATGATCTGTGTCCAATCCCTGAGACCCACAGCAAGAATCTGCTCCACAAAGTTGTCCTCTGACCTCTACACATGTGCCCTGCACACACAGATGCACACACATATACAAGGTCCACTGAGCTCTAGAACCTGCCTCCTGGCTCCAATCATTCCACAGGAGAGACAACATCAAGACTGCAGCGTTAGGGCTGGGGGATAAGCCAGGAGTGGTACTGTACACATGTAATCCCCACACTCAGAAGGCAGGAGCAGGGGAATCCAAAGTTCAAGTTTGTCCTTGGATATATACAGTTCAGGGTCAACCTGGGCTCCATGCCTTCAACAAACAGAACTGCAGGGTTAATGACTCATAACAAGATCTTTTGACTTATAGCCAGATCTTTCATGTTAATTTCTTATTTCATTAGTTTGGAATAGGGACTCATGTAGCCCAGGTTTGCCCAGAACTTACTCAGTAGCCAAGAATAACCCTAAATTTCCTTCCTCCCTCCTTTTTTTTTAGACAGAGTTTCTCTGTGTATCCCTAGCTGTCCTGGAACAGTTTTGTAGATCAGGCTAGCCTCGAACTCACAGAGATTCACCTGCCTATACCCTACGGAGTACTGAGACTAAAGATGTACACCACTACCATCCAGCTATGACCTTGAATTTCTAACTCTCCTGCCGTAGTGCTGGGATTACGGGCATGAACCAGTACGCTCAGTTTCAACTGTTACTCTAAAGTCAGAATTTAGCTTTAATTGAATCTGGGAGTCGGGGTGAGGAAAAAAACCTGGTTGTAGAGAAACACCAGTAATACTTTGAAATGGGATTTGTCAGCAGACTGCCTTGGGTGTGTCTCTTTCTTCCTCTTACCATCTTTTTTTCTCGTATTTTTCTTGAAGAAACTCCTTCACCTTCTGAGGATCCCTGGAATCTGGTATCAGTGATGTCCGAGCGTCAAAAAGACCAAGCCAGATCTTCCGGCAGACCTGAAGGGACCGAAACGGCACAATGTCCCAGGTGTAAACGGCATTGTTAGTGAACCACTGATTAATGACGCCAGACCAATATCCTCAGAGATAAAATATCTACTGAGCCTGGACATGTGTGTGATGTGTGTGAAGGGAATCCACATGTACCCACACAGCAGACATAACCCCTGCCCCACACTTTATAATCCAATAGGTCAGGCCCTATGTAAGCGTACGATACATGTAAGGCAAACAATAGCACATACTAAGAATACGAATTAAAAACATATGCCAAAAGAAACTTTGGGGGCTGGTAAAAAAAAAAAAAAAGCAGATGCCCTGAGCTAGATCCCTACACCCAGAGAGTGAAAGCAGAGAACCAACTCGTAAAAGGTATCCTCTATTACAATAGACAGACAGACAGACAGACAGACAGACAAAATAGAGAAATGTAAAGAAAAAAAAATTTCAAAGGAAACTATTGGGTTTTCCAACCATCTTGAGGCAAAGCCTTGCTACCCAGTTATGGCGGATGTAAAGCTGCAGCCTCTACCTCCTCCCTCGGCGGCTGCTCACCTCATTTCCACGAGATTGGAGGAACAGGACTTCAGGCTCAGTGAAAGTTGTCATGGAGATGGACTTGACTCGATGAGGGGGGTTCAGGCCTCTCCTGTAGGAAAGAAACAGAGCGGTGAGCTGTGGCAGGTGTGTTCAAGGAAGGAGTGAGGACGGAGAAATGAAATACCAGCACATAAGATGGTCTCAGTTAGGACTCCATCCAAGGGCTAGGGCGTGGCTGGGGAGGTAAAGCACCTGTCTAGAATCTCCCAGTGAGGGGCTGGGGGTGTGGCTCAGTGGTAGAGTCCCTGCCTAGAATCCCCCAGTGAGGGGCTGGGGTGTGGCTCAGTGGTAGAGCCCCTGCCTAGAATCCCCCAGGGAGGGGCTGGGGGCGTGGCTCAGTGGTAGAGCCCCTGCCTAGAATCCCCCAGTGAGGGGGTGGGGGCGTGGCTCAGTGGTAGAGTCCCTGCCTAGAATCCCACAGTGAGGGGCTGGGGGCGTGGCTCAGTGGGAGAGCCCCTGCCTAGAATCCCCCAGTGAGGAGCTAGGAGTAGAGTTTATCAGTTAAAAATTGGTTGGCTTAGTATACACAAGGCCCTTGTTTCTATTCCCAATACTGGAAAGCAAACAAACAAAAATTCAAGAACAAGAAAGTCTTGCCGAGGGCCAGCAAGACGGTTTAGAGGGAGCTTGTGGCAGGGCTTGCTGATCTGAGGACCTGAGACCCACACAACAGGAGAGAAATGCCGCCTCCAGATTCTTGTTTGGCCTCCATGTGCACAGTGACACCCAACATACACTAACTAAGTAAATGTAAAAAGTTTTAAATATCCCTATTAAAAGCTAATTCCGAACATCAGGAAAAAACATAAATGAGAATATTCTGGAAACTTCAAATGAGATACAAGAAGAGAGACAAACACGTTGTGACCCTGTTAGTGACTTTGGAGAAGGAGGCAGAGCCTGTCATCCAGACTCCTCTTTGAGGCTGGCTCAGATCCTGTCCAGTGCTCAGCCTGTGGCTGAGGGTGACTTCTGGGAGCTGAGACACTTTGTCACATCTCATTTCCCGCTGTTATTCTAGATCTATGGCTTCACATCCTGAGGACCCACAGGCATCACCAAGCATGAAGTAACGGCAGAAAAGAGATCCTTGACTAACGCTGCTGGCAGTAAAGGGAGGCTATGTGGAGCAGAGTGGGTAAGCGGAAGCCGCTGCAGTGCTCCCTTAACAGAAGGATGGAGTTGTGGGAGGGGATGGACAGTCCACCCCCTTTCAGGAAGCCATATCTGGAAAAAGAAATATCCCAGGCATCCCTCTTCCGAGATCTTTTAATGAGCAGGAAGAAGTTTATAAACTTCAGCCATGAGATGGAATAACACAGGCCCGAAGCTCCGCTAACTCCCGGGAGAGCCAGGTCCACCCATAGACACCCTGTGGGGTTACAGCTGAAAAGAAAGATTTCTTACTCCTATTCACTTGCCCTTCTGGGGTTCTAATGGGAAACCAGAGGCTCAGCTAGGTGAGGGCTTCGTGCTTTCCCCTTTCTTTTTCCTTTTTAAATATTTATTTATTTATTTTATGTATGTGAGTACATTGTCACTGTCTTCAGACACACCAGAAGAGGGCACTGGATTCCACTACAGATGGTTGTGAGCCACCATGCAGTTTCTGGGAACTGAACTCAGGACCCCTGGAAGAGTAGTCAGTACTCTTAACCGCTGAGCCATCTTTCCAGCCCCGGTTTCCCTTTTCTTAAGTTTAATGTATCTATTTACTTATTCATCCTGTAAGTCAGAGGACAACCTGCAGGACTCTGTTCTCTCCTTCCACTGTGGGGATCGTCAGGCTTGGTGGCAAGTGCCTTCGGGGATCATCAGCCTTGGTGGCAAGTGTCTTCGCCCACTACTGAACCACCTCACCAGCCCCCAGGTCCTCCTTGCTTTACACTTTAACCTTTACTCCAGTCTAGAGCATTGCCCTCATCTTAAAACAAAACCAGCCAAGCCAAAACAAATTAGAGCAGGACGTGATGGACCACAGACTCACGCAAGAAAGTCTATGATACTGAGACATCTTTGGCTTTGAAATACTAGGTAGGGCCTCCGACCACAGCTTAGTTGGTAGGATGTTTATATGAAGCCCTGTTCAGCTCCAGCACTATAAACCAGGTTTGGTGGTAGATAACCTGTGATCGCAGCTCTGGGGAGGTGGAGGAGGACATCTGTGGCTATACAGCAAGTTCAAGGCATATGAGACCCTGTCTCAGAAAATAAATGAATGAAAATAAGGGGCTGGAGAGACAGCTCAGTGGTTTAGAGCACTGGTTGCTCTTGCAGAGGACCTGGGCTGGATTCTCAGCCACCACGTGGTGGGTCATAATCACCTGGATTTCCAGGGGATCTGATGCCCTCTTCTGGCTTCAGATAGCACTACTCCCACACGGTACAAGAACATACAGGCATGTATGAATGTATGTATGTACCATATATGTAAGATAATAAAATAAAGATTTAAGTGAGGAATATATATTTACACTCACAAGTAGCATGCACAGCATGAAGGTAGCTGTGCCAAGTTTGGAAGGCTAGCAGTGACTGCCGGTGTAAGTGATGGCAGAGCATGGATTCAGGGCAGATGCCAAGCCCCAGAGTGAACAGTGAAGGGCGGCTGCTCTTCGGTGATAAATTGTTCATTAAGGGATTTTAGCAAAGGCTGGAACACAGGAGGCTACAGACGAGGTCATTTTCCAGCCATTCTGCCACTAGACTTTTGAGTAAGGACTCTCCAGATGCCCTTATAAAATGACAAGCAGTATCCAAGAGGGTGACGTCTAAGGAAACACGAGAGGGAAGCAGCCAGCAGAACCTGGCTCCTATAGCAAACAATAGCTCTTACATAGGACCTGTCCTGGAGTCTGCCGGGCTCTTACATAC